AGATAGATAGATAGATAGATAGATAGATAGATAGATAGATAGATAGATAGATAGATAGATAGATAGATAGATAGATAGATAGATAGGAAAACCTATAACAGTCATAGCTGGGTGATACCCTTAGCAGGACCAACATAGATTTTAAGTCACCCAAAGTTCTCCATTGGGTCAGATGTTTTAAAAAGTGGGGTACAGAATGGGGCAAGAAAGTTTTAGGGGCCTGGGTATCTGAAGCAATTCAAATTCATTCACATAAATGTTTTATTCTTATGGATCAACAAAGCCTTCTTAGTGTCTGTTTTTAACATGTCTGTTACAGATTGTAAAGGAAAGGTTTAGAAAGAGGCGGGCTACTTCTGTTTCATAGTGTTCTGCTCTTTAAAAAAGTTTGCAATTTTACTCTGTTTCCTACTTGGGGGGGGCAAAGTTGTGTCAAGTGTTCCTGACCCTTGCTGTGGACGTTCCCACCACGACTGGTTTATTGGTGCCCAGAGACTTCCTTGATTTTGCCGTGACAGGCATCACCCGGGTCCCGCTGCTCTGGACGCTTGGAGAAAACATTTCAATGGCTTTCTCTCTCTCTCTCTCTCCCCCCCCCCGAGTTCTCCTTTCCCTAGGCACATTCCAGGGGTGGAACAAAGCAGTCTGCACCGGCTGCAGCCCATCGAACCACGCAGGGGTCACTGGCCAAGCGTGGCCACCCACCAGCTTCCTGATTTTGCTGACTACCTGGAATGGTAAGAACAGGGCGGTGTGGGTGGCGGGAGAAGGCCAGTCTTTCTGGAAACCACAATAGGGGACTTAGTCGGATCCTGGCTTGCTGAGATAGATACCTGTCAGGGGAGTGGGTCAGAAGACCCAGTATTGCATAGCCCACACCTCCCTGGGATCACCCCAACCTCTCCAGAAAGAGAAGGAGGCCTGTGACATAAAACCTCCCTATATATTTTTCCCCCTTCTTCTGGTGCTCCAAATTCATTTGAGCGGACAATTCTGCCTTCTCCTCGGCTGCTGTCACACACACCCCCGCCAGCTGAGCATGCTACAACTTCTTCCTTCCCTCTCAGCACATGAGTGGTAGGTAGAGCGCGCGGGCCTACATCTTTCTGTCTGGAAGCCCCTCATTTATCTCACCAGGAAACGGAAGAGTTTTATTCACGTGGCTCAGCACGAAATCCCCCACGCATCGAGTCTCTCCAGCTCCTGAATCCGGGGGGAAAAGGGAATCAAAGCAAGCAGCTCCAGGGCAGCTGAAATCATGAAACGGTCAAGATGGAGGGGGACCCCCCAAGGTCATCCAGTCCACCCCCTGCCCCAAACAAGGATCAAATGGGTCTTCGTTTTGTTTCGTGTTTGGGAAGTCGTTGGGAGGCTGGAACGGGAACATTTATTTCCGATACACCATCAGAAGTCCCCGTACTCTTTAATATTCAGATATGTATCCATGGGAAAGCTGGGAAGGGTCCCTAGCAATGAACTCAGTAAAAAAAAAAGTCTATGTGGAAGGAGATTTTTTCCCCCATGCCCTTTTCTTTCCAGTCTTGAGTGGGGTATTTGGCAATGCAAAATGGAGACTTTATCCAAACGAATGGATAATGCAACAGTAGACATGGTCTAGAGGGGCGGGGTATAAATTTAATAAATAAATAAAATAAATAAATAAACAGATGGCTGACATTCGGGCAGCATTGACTGAAGCCGTTGCTTAGTGTAGTAAGTCACAACTTGAGTAGGCCCATTGGCTCCTCTGTGTGCCTCACTGATTCAGGGAGCCTACTGAAAAATTACATGAAGGATTAATGTTTAAAAATAACTTTCCAAACCCTACTTCCACACAGTATCCTCGGTGCTGCGTTTCGCCCAAGCTGCGGCTTCTGAACTGACAAGTAAGTCACAACTTGAGTAGGCCCATTGGCTCCTCTGTGTGCCTCACTGATTCAGGGAGCCTACTGAAAAATTACATGAAGGATTAATGTTTAAAAATAACTTTCCAAACCCTACTTCCACACAGTATCCTCGGTGCTGCGTTTCGCCCAAGCTGCGGCTTCTGAACTGACATCAAGGGCAGCCCCACGTAGAGCGCATTACAGTAGCCCAGTCGAACCTGGTGTGGGCAGCGCAAGCGTGCACCGCCTTGTAGGCCTTCCAGGGCTTTTCAACCTCAAACTGAAGAACCAGATTATTTTCCAAAAAGCATGTGTGTGTATACGTGCGTATGTGTGAGACCGCAATTCTGTTTTTTTGCAATACCGCCAGCGCCATCTGCAGGCCTTAACCGCTCATGTTCCCCAGTTCCAGATATGGAAACAACCACACCCCATTAGGAATCTTGTAGCACGCTTGAGGCCTAACGTTTTATTTAATGCTAAGCTTTTGTGAGGTTGTGGCATCCCACTTGCCTCCTAAAATGGGGCTGTGTAATACTTTAAGGACAGATTTTTTTTTCTCTCCTGCATTCAATTGAAAGATTCTCCAACCCTATTTATCTGTTTTATCTTTTGTGTGTCTTGGTTATTGATGAAGTTAAATTTCCAGTGCTAATACAAACTTCCTAGGCTTTCCGCCCAGTTTCTGGGATGTCATTTTAAAGTGAAACAAGACACCGGCTAGGGCCAAAACTCTGAGCTCCTGACACACACTCTCACACACATCTTATGATTTTACAAAGCGGTTGAATTCTCATTGGCTTCGGCGGTGGTTTTTTTTTTTTGTTTTAACAGGCCAAGTGGCTGAACTTGGATTTTATATATCCTTCCTGCTGCATTTCTTTGCATTTTTTAAGGATTTTTGTCCTCCATTATCATCACCATAATCATCATCCTAAAATGTCCCCCATCTACTCTTGGCTGGAGATTTTTGTGGCCCCCCAAAGAACCTGTCCTCAACTCTGCTTGGAAGAAAGGAAGGAAAGATGGGAGGAAGGTAGGAAGGAAAGGAAAGGGGAAGGAAAGTCGAACCTGGTGTGGGCAGCGCAAGCGTGCACCGCCTTGTAGGCCTTCCAGGGCTTTTCAACCTCAAACTGAAGAACCAGATTATTTTCCAAAAAGCATGTGTGTGTATACGTGCGTATGTGTGAGACCGCAATTCTGTTTTTTTGCAATACCGCCAGCGCCATCTGCAGGCCTTAACCGCTCATGTTCCCCAGTTCCAGATATGGAAACAACCACACCCCATTAGGAATCTTGTAGCACGCTTGAGGCCTAACGTTTTATTTAATGCTAAGCTTTTGTGAGGTTGTGGCATCCCACTTGCCTCCTAAAATGGGGCTGTGTAATACTTTAAGGACAGATTTTTTTTTCTCTCCTGCATTCAATTGAAAGATTCTCCAACCCTATTTATCTGTTTTATCTTTTGTGTGTCTTGGTTATTGATGAAGTTAAATTTCCAGTGCTAATACAAACTTCCTAGGCTTTCCGCCCAGTTTCTGGGATGTCATTTTAAAGTGAAACAAGACACCGGCTAGGGCCAAAACTCTGAGCTGCTGACACACACTCTCACACACATTTTATGATTTTACAAAGCGGTTGAATTCTCATTGGCCTCAGGGGTGTTTTTTTGTTTTAACAGGCCAAGTGGTTGAATTTGGATTTTATATACCCTTCCTGCTGCATTTCTTTGCATTTTAGGATTTTTCCATCATCATCACCATAATCATCATCTCAAAATGTCCCCCATCTGTCCTTGGCTGGAGATTTTTGTGGCTCCCAAAGAACCTGTCCTCAACTTTGCTTGGAAGAAAGGAAGGAAAGATGGGAGGAAGGAAGGAAGGAAGGAAGGGAAAGGAAATGGGAGAGGAAGGATGGGAGGAAGGAAGGAAGGAAGGAAGG